GATCCCAGGACCCTGGGATCATGACCTGAGCCGAAGGCAGACGCTTAACCATCTGAGCCACCCAGTCGCCCCACCATCATTTTTTTTTTTAAGTAAGCTTTTTGCCCAACGTGGGCCTTGAACTCTACCCAGAGATCAGGAGTTGCATGCTCTACCAGCTGAGCCACCCAGGCACCCCTGATCACTATCATTTTAATAGCTGTTAAAGATTCCATCGTGTGGATGGGACATCCTCTATATAGTCAGCCTTCTGTTAACAGACATGTAGGTCATTGCCATTTTTTGCTGCTATAAAAACTACTGGAGAACCATCCATGTATGCATATCTTTGCCCACCTGCTTAATTATATTTCTATGGTATAAATTTCTAGAAGTCAGTGGCTGTGTTTCAGGGGTCCACAGCCCCCACAATTCGGTGACTCTCTAGAAATACTCCTAGGACTTGGGATAGTTGTACTCATGGCTGTGGTTTCTTCCTGACAAAGGATGCACAGCAGGATCAGCAAGGGAAAAAGACATTAGCTGGAGTCTAGAAAAATCCAGGCATCGGTTTCTACTGTTCCTCCTCTTGGGGCAATGGGGAGAGATCACACAAAACACTTTTTCCTCCAGCAATGAAGAGCAGCAACGCATGTGCGTGTTTCTGCCCAGGAAGCATACCTAAGATTCGAGGCTCAGGGCTTTTCCTGGGGATTGCTCATGTAGGTACCACAGTGACCAAAATTCCAGACTCTTAGAAGGAAAGGAGGTGTTCACCACAGATCACACTGTCTGTACAATCTAGGTGACCTAGTACAGAATGGGCAGTGCCCCCAGATGATCAAAACAGCCTTATTGATCATAGGCAACCTTCCACAAGGTAGGTTCTCAGAGGCCATTCAAGAGCCAGTCCCACAAGCAGCCCTCCTAAGACGGCAACAGTGGGGCTGCTAGATCAACTCAGTTGTGTCCAAGCTGGGCCTTTTTGTCGACTTTCCTAGAGAACAGGGGTAGTGGCACCTGGCTGATGCTTCCTCTGTATTCTTCCATGCCTCTGTTGCCATGCCTCCCGTCAGCCCTGTCCTCTGAGCTGCCTTGTGAGGGGCTTTTCTTTCCACATGGCTGGCTAAGACAAATGTCCTTCCTCGCTGATAACAAGACAGCTGGTGTCAAGAGGGTGTGACACTTTATTTTTTTTATTTTTTTAAATTTTATTTATTTATTTGAGACAGAGAGAATGAGAGACAGAGAGCATGAGAGGGA